AGAGGGATCCACTCACCTGGGACCAGGCAGTGAGGAGCGCTGCAGCCATCTGCCGGTCTCTGGTTCTCCCCTCCCGGGAAACAGCCGGGACCTGCGGAGAGGGGCGGGCTGGGGGAGGAGAGGGGACCTCAGGCGGCCGGCTCCCCTGCTGGGCCCTGCTACCCCTGAGCGGCTCAGCGCTGGCCTCCAGGGACATCCATGGTCCTTCAAATGCCACATTTTCTTGGGCCTAAGAACAGCGGCTCTATGCTGTAAGACCTCATAGGGGCGTCTGTAAGGATGCGGTGCGTGCAGACATGGGGGGCTGTCTCCATGCGTGTTGCAGGCAGCTCTTGTGCCCTGTCCAGGCATGAGCACCCTTGCCCTGGGAGCGACCACCACTTTCACTGCTGCCGCCCTGGGGAGCACCTCTCTGCACGGCCTCTGCTCACCTCCCCCTTTCTTCCCACCTCCCTCTCGCCTCTCCCCTGCCTCCTCGGCTCAATTTGCCTCCCACCTGCTCACCTCTGCCAGGCAGAAGAGCCTTCTCCCTGAAGCCACGCCTCAGGGGCGCCCACCTCCGTGCACTTGGAGCCCCTTCTCCCTGTGATGCCCCGTCAGCATGCAGCTCTTCGGGCTCAGTCTTGTGAGGTGACTCCTGAGCGGCCTCCAAAGGCCCCGTCTCGTCTGACTCAGAAAGCATGTCTTGACAAGGATGCTGGTGACCTGGAACCTAGGAAAGGCAGCCGCATCAGAACCGGGTGGCGGGTGGGAGAGAGGACCCAGCTCTGCCTTAGGGGTGGGGGGCCTGCAGCAGCAGAAAGCAAGGGTGTCAGAACGCACACGGGATTCAAGGTGCAGCTCTGGTAACACCGTGGCCCTGCTGGTCCTGTTTTCTTCTCCCGCCTAAGGACTCACAAATCTCCTCCTCACCACAGCAAGGACAGGGCAGCAAAAGAGGGGACAAAGCCACGTCGAGCTTGACTGCAGGGCAAGCACCTGGGGCCACAGGGTGCAGTTCCAAACCAGAAAACAACTGGTTGCTGTTGAGTCCATTCCAACTCATGGCGACCCCATGTGTCAGAATACAACTGGTCCATAGGGTTTTCTTGGCAGTAATCTTTATAGAAGCAGGGTGCCGGGCCTTTCTTCCATGGCACAGCTGGGTAGGTTCGAATCGCCAACCTTTAGCTTAGTAGTTGAGGGCAAGCTAGTCATGCCACCCAGGGAGTTTCCAAGGTGCAGTTCCCACACTTCAGTTCCGTCCTCTCTCAGCACAGCGGGACGCAGGGCTACCTGTTTAGTCTGTGAGGCCAGCAGGGTTCGGAGCGGCCTGACCACACCTAAGAGCACGTAGCCCGACCGGGAGGGGGCCTGAGCTCGCGTCTACCTGAACAGACACCACCCAGGCCAGCGTTTCTGGAAAGTGAGCGTGAGGCACAGTAGGGCCTTGGCCCATTTCGGTCGAAGTCAATTTGGACAGAGTGTTTGGAGTTTTCTCATCTGGAGGAGATATAGCCTGAGGGTGACACTAACTGCTCAGGCCTCCTGCCCACTCTGGTCTCAGAAGGAAAATTCCCCCTTCAGCAGACCGCCTCCCCACCATGGCATTCCCCGGGTCCTACCTGAGCCTCTTCACTCTCATCCTCTTCTTTATGCCCCTGCTGGGAACAAGCTTTAGAGTCAGGAGACCAGAACCCAGACCATCCCTCATTGGCTGTTAGCCCTAAGAAGGCACCGCATCGACGGAAACCAGGCTCTCCATCTGAGGGATGGGAGCCCGATGGCGTCTACACCGGAGGGTGTTGGGGGAACATGTGGAGGTCCTTGTGGACGGTATCCAGCTCGGTCCTTCATACGTGTGACCCCAGCCAGTCCTCAAGGGCTCAGGCATGCCTGGGAAGCCCCCCACTGGGGCCCAGACCCCTTCTCCTTGTTCTCTATCTTTGCTGTAAATTCTCTTTATCTAATCGGCTATCGTTTTTATGTCAAAAAACAAAAAAGCATGTCGTTACCTGAAAAGCTGTCAGGAGTCATCTCCCAGGGACTGGGGAGGCCCCTGGTGAGACCACATCGCCACCTGCAGGATGGGCACTACCTGCTGGTCAGCCCAGCGCTGTGGTCAAGCAGGGC